AGCGGCCGCATGCCGGTCAATAATCGATTAGTAGCCAATTGTTAATTGCAGTTCATTATATTTGTTTATTTGGTGCAGCCGGCAGAATGTGGCGACAGCTCAGCGGAGTCGCACGAACAGGAAGCAGCCTAAGCCTCTGCAGGATGCGAGGATTCTCGGCACTGGTGCAGGACAAGGCCCTGGTGGATGGCGCCTGGGTGGATTCCAGCAATGCCAAGGCAACCTTCGAGGTGCGGAATCCAGCCAGTGGTGCTGTCATCGGAAAGGTGCCCAACATGACGGTGGCGGACGCCCAGAAGGCCATTGACGCCGCCAAGCAGGCGTACGAGTCCAAGGAGTGGCGATCCCTGACCGCCAAGGATCGTTCCAACCTGCTCAAGGTGAGTGCCGAGATCATTCCCTATCAGGGGTGCTAGTTAGCACCCACAGATTGCTAATGCACTACCTAAGGCCCATCATATAGTATGATGGGGTCTAGTCTCAAGTTCCTCTTATCACAATGTATTGAACTTGAAGATGGAAAGTTTCGACTGTAGGTCATTGTCATCACTTCTGCCTGCAGTCTCTAATGAACCTCTGCTAATCTTATCTAATCTCGGCTTGCAGAAGTGGCACAAACTGATCGAGCAGCACACACAGGAGATAGCCGAGATAATGACGGCCGAGTCGGGCAAGCCGATCAACGAGTCCAAGGGGGAGGTGGCCTACGGCAACTCCTTCGTCGAGTGGTTTGCAGAGGAAGCCCGTCGCATCTACGGCGAGATTGTGCCCAGCGCATTGCCCAATCGGGAGATCATTGTGATGAAGCAGCCCATCGGAGTGGCGGCCCTGATCACGCCCTGGAACTTCCCATTGGCCATGATTACGAGGAAAGCAGGAGCCGCGCTGGCTGCTGGGTGTACGGTCGTTGTGAAGCCCTCAGAGGACACTCCTCTCACCGCTCTGGCGGTGGCCAAATTGGCAGTGGATGCTGGCATTCCGAAGGGCGTCATAAATGTGGTCACCACAAACAAAGCGGCTCCGATTGGCGACCTGTTCTGCAAGAGTCCCGATGTGAGGGGCATATCTTTCACGGGCTCCACTGAAGTGGGCAAACTGCTCTTCCGCAACTCGGCTGACGGCATCAAAAGGATTTGCCTCGAACTCGGCGGCAATGCTCCGTTTATTGTCTTCGACTCGGCAGACATCGAGAAAGCAGTGGATGGCGCGATGGCCTCCAAGTTCAGGAACTGCGGACAGACCTGTGTCTCCGCCAATAGATTCTTTGTGCAGAATGACGTCTACGATAAGTTCGTTGGGCAGCTGCAAAAACGCATAGAGGCACTAAAGATCGGAGATGGTCAAGGATGCGATGTGGAAATCGGACCGCTGATCAACGAAATGCAGTTCAAGAAAGTGAGTGGCTTTGTGGAGGACGCCAGGTCGAAGGGGGCAAACATTATCCTGGGCGGACAGCCGTTGCCCGACAAGGGATCCCTCTTCTACGCACCCACAATTGTCACAGATGTGCCGCCCTCGGCTCAACTCTACACCGAGGAGGTCTTTGGTCCAGTGGTCTCCATCATACGGTTCCGAGACGAGGAGGAAGCGGTGAAGAAGGCAAACGACACACGAAGAGGCCTGGCCGGTTACTTCTACAGCCAGAATCTGCAGCAGGTGTTCCGGGTGGCCAAGCGGATGGAGGTGGGCATGGTCGGGGTCAACGAGGGCTTCCTCTCCGCCGCAGAGGCTCCATTTGGTGGCGTCAAGGAGTCCGGTGTGGGACGTGAGGGTTCCAAGCACGGAATCGACGACTATGTGGACATTAAGTACATTTGCATGGGCAACCTCAAGTACGACTGAAGTCCGATGGAGGAGTCCCTCCCACTGCTTTCATACGCTGTCTTCCACTAGAATGCGATTGGTTTATTGTTGTCTAATTGTAGAATAACACGCAGCTATTTTAATAAATGTGCACAAAATGAATAATTTCCCAGTCTTTAAAAAGCCCGCTACACTCATCGATTAGTCGGGACTTTTGACAATCGCCGTAAGTAGACACGCAACCGATTTAAGAGACTTCGATATCTTGGTGCTATCGATTTTTCTCCACCTCTAAGCAGACTATCGCCATCCCCACAGCTGTGCGAAAGAGACAGACAAAATTACAATGCCAAATGACAAAATTGTAAGTAAATTGTTGATAACAAATTGAAAACTGCATTTAAGGTGCAAACTAAACGGATGTCTTGTTGGTGCAGTGTGTGTAGTGAAAATTGTCAAGTGTTTCCCGCTGTCTACCCATTAAAAAAGCCGGCAAACAAAGTCGGTTTCCCATTTCGATGGCGTTTGTTGTTGTTGCCTTGTGTATGGAAAATATGTTTAAAGTGCATTAAAGCCGGCAAAAGTGCAGCATATAGTGCATAATACCCCAATTTGGGAGCAGTCCCGAAAGTGCACATTCCCTGCAAGTCCCGAATTGCGGCCAAAAGTGCTGGCGGTGAAATTTAATGGTACCATGACTTGTAGATTTTCTACTGACAGAGTGCAGTCTAGGCGGAAAGTGGACTGAGGGGAGTGTGAGGGGGTTTTAAGTCCAAAAACCTATCTAAAAACCAACTAAATTATTAACGATTGTTGGCTGGCAAATGCTTAGCGAAATGCATTTGAGGACATGTCTGGCCAATTAGGCGATTTCTGGTTGAAGGGGTGCTACACTCAGAGAAATGTCTCAAGCTCCCTTACTTCTAAAAGACATACTGTGAAATATAAAAAAATTTTTTTTTAATAAGAAATCTGGATATACCAATAAATCACACAACAATATTGTTATTTGAAAACTAAATTGAATTTTTTTGCAAGTGCATGCCGCTCATGTCTGTTAAAAAGTCTGTTTTCTTTTTTATTGAAATCTGAGAATAAGAGATCGCAATTTACATACATATATGTACACGTGTTAGAGCTCTTTTAACTATGCACTCATTTTGGCAACGAATTGCATTTGTTTTTAATTGCGATGCCAGCTAAATTGTCGCAGTCAAGTTCGCGCCTTCATGACGTACAGTTCGAAACACTAAGCAAAAAGCCCTAAACGCTTTGGTAGCTCCTAGCTACACTTGACAACCCCCCTCACCCAATCTACCACCCACCACCGCCCACTCAAGCGCCCACCCAACCGCCCACCCAGTGACCCGTCCAAAAAGAAGTCCAGAAAATGGCCTGTGCACCACTGCTGCTCGAGCAATTCATCTACAAGAAGCGCAATTTCGCCTACGCCTTTGTGCGCCATCGTCTGTTTGTGTTATGCAAACAATCGGTTGGACCACATATTGCCACATTTCACCAGGCCCAGTACTAATTAGAATTTGGGTTTCATTTGTGCATTCCAGTTAATTCGCGTTCAGTCGGCGGAGGGCATCAAACGCATCGAGATCTCGTCCAAGTCGAATCTGAAGCATCTATACGACAGCGTTCAGAATGCCCTGAAGGTGGATGGATTCGGTCTCTTCAAGGAGCGCAACTTCCTCACAGAGCTGCAGGCCAGTGGCTCCCAGCTGGTGGGGACTTCCTTGAAGCATGGCGACATGGTCTACTTGAAACAGATGGCTGGCACATCATCGCGCGTAAGTTGATCAAACAGAGCAGTTCGATCGGGGACTAACCTGCTTACTTCTCATAATGTTCTCTTCGCAGCGCACCAGCACCACTGTCATGGACAGTCAGGCGTTCAAGACAAGCACCATTAGCAATCCAAACAGCGCTCGTCCATCCATTAATGTGGTCGAAGATGACGTGGATCAGGCTCTGAGCAAAGCTGATGGCACCATTAAGCGCGAACGTGATAGCAAGCTGTAGGCTTTGATTATAATATAAAAAGTACCATTTAACTCATCAACCGATAACTTTTTTTTAGGTGCCACCACAATGCCAACGGCCGTTGCGTGCACTGCTCCGCACTGGAGCCCTATGATGAGTCCTATCTGAAGGAGCAGAAAATCAAGCACTTGTCCTTCCACTCGTACATACGCAAACAGACATCCGGCATGGATCAGGGCAAGTACTTTGTCTTCGACGACATCAACTGCCGCATCAAGCCGGGATGTCGCGAGCATCCACCATGGCCCAAGGGCATCTGCTCCAAGTGCCAGCCGTCGGCTATTACGCTGAATCGTCAGACATATCGCCACGTGGACAATGTCATGTTCGAGAACACCAAGATCGTGGAGCGCTTCCTTAACTACTGGCGCACCACAGGACACCAGCGCATGGGATATCTGTATGGCACGTACGAGCAGCACACTGACGTTCCGTTGGGCATCAGGGCCAAGGTGGCTGCCATTTACGAGCCGCCACAAGAGTCTACCAGGGATTCTATCAACATCCAGCCGGATGAGTTCGCTGACGATGTGGATGCCGTTGCCAGTGCGCTAGGACTGAAAAAGGTTAGTTATAACTACCACAAAAGTTGCCTTTTTTATTTTTTCATTTCTGACGTTCTTAGATTGGTTGGATTTTCACTGATCTCATCACGGAGGATGCGAGTGTCGGCACTGTCAAACAGATCCGTGGCATCGAGTCGCACTTCATTACGGCCCAGGAGTGCATCACAGCCGGCGAGCTGCAGAATCGCCATCCAAATCCGTGTAAATATGCCTCCAATGGCGTTTTCGGCTCAAAGTTTGTGACGATTTGTGTAACAGGTAAGCTCAAGTTGATGCTGTGAAATGAATTAGTACCAAAACTGTTCTTAAACATTTCAGGAGATAAAACCAAACAAGTGCACATGGAAGGCTATGCGGTCTCGGCTCAGTGCATGGCTCTGGTGCGAGATAATTGTCTGATACCCACTAAGGATGCGCCAGAGCTGGGCTACGTGCGTGAATCCACGGACAAGCAGTATGTTCCGGACGTCTTCTATAAGGTAAGTGAGCCACATCGAGTTGCAGAGTTCGAAATTCGCAGGCACGATGAAAAAGCTTTTAGCTTGTATCCCCCAATCAAGTGAAATCAGTTATTGGGCAACCTTTATTGAATTACGTTCACACATTTACACAAACAACTTCCATATTTAGACATCGATTCGAATGGGATTTGATTTTTCAGTTGGATACATGCAAAGAAAATCTGGGTTTCACGAGCAACGCCAATTCAAACATTTGACATCAAGAGGCTTACATTATCTTGAATTACTTTGATTTATTTATGCAATAACTTCATTATCTTCCCTTATCCTTCTCGGTTTGTACTTCTCATCATTGCTCTGGGTACTCCTTCAAAAGTTCATATTATTTATCGTATACCTAGGACATTCATAAACGATGCTATTACTCAATGCATATTCAATTCTTAAAGTAACAACTTTCTGAGCAACTGCCAGCCAATCACAATTTTCCAATTACTCCCCTTTATGTCTTTATAAACTCTTTACTTGTCGCCTATGGGCCAAACTCTTTCGTTCTATCTAATGTTTATTTGTGATTCGATTTTGTATTATTTTGGAAAATATAAGATTTCGATTTAACTTTTCTAAACCTAAAACCTAAACATACACTTTTCGATTGAAGTTGATAGGTTTATAAGGATTACTAAACATAATTTAAACTATAATGTGGCCATTTTCAATAGTTTAGTCTACAAATTTCGTAAAATTGATTTCGATTTCTTCTTAATTCGATTCCTTGCCTTCCTTTACTTCGCTAAGGTGCTATTATTACTTGATTCCCTTATTTTATGGATGGCTGCTCTTGGCGTTCATTATTTCTTCCATCACAAACATAGCCTTAGTTATGATCACATCAAATGCATATGTAGACACCGAAAACTATCTCGTTTATTACTTATTGCTAATAGATTTATTTCGTATATTATTATTAACTGAATTGACCGTAATTACATGTCAGCTGTGTATTTGGCTTTCACCTTATTCTTGGTTTATAATCTTACGTTTTTATTGTAATTAATTTACTATGTCCAGGTAACGTCGTAGCGCTTCAACGCACGTTTAGTGTCGTTTTCCTTAGGCTAAACTTATTTAAAATATTCAAGGTCTGTTACAATTTCCACCTTGTCCATGAATCTGAAATGTTTATAGATCATTGATAGTCTTTTTTATTTAAAATAGCATCCAAAACGTTTCTTTGAGTTGTAAATTGTTTATAAAAATTCTTTTTGTGTTAAAAAATTGGCTCTGTTGCGGACTGCGACTGTCTTTTTTTGATCGTTTAAAGTAGTGCGTTTATTTCTACAAAATTCGTACCAAGATTTGCATACCAAGAATTGTATAGATATCGGGTGGAGTTGTACATTGAAAGTGTGTAGGATCTTTTGGTTTGATAGTGTTCGTTAAGATGGGTCTGATGGATCAGTCGGACATATTATCGGTTTAAATGGTACTCGCCACAATTCCGGATGGTGCTCCTAAGTGCCGGTCGTCCCAAGGCATTGCCACTGGCCGCAATTCGGTCCACCAACTCAATGCCCTGCACAATGAATCCGAAAATGGCGGTGAAGGATCGCATCTCGTTGAGCACCAACCGGAACTGGCTGCCCACGAGTCCACTCCTATCCTGTCGCCGCTGCCCCCTGCGCATGCCAACCGTTCCCCGGTGTGCCGGCAAACCCGTGTCATCTGGCAAAAAGTATCTGCTCTCAAAGGCCGAGTGTCCACCGCGTCCGTTCTGCGACTCAAAGTCGCCGGTGATGATGCTCTCGCCCCCCCAGGCCTGGAAGACGGCACAGCCCCGATAGCCGTAGCCCCGCTCGTGCCGCACCAGCGCCCCAAAGTTGTCCGCCATCCGGGGAGCGGCATCCGAACGCACCTCGATTAGTACCCGGCCGGCCAGTTCTCCTGCTATTTCCATGTCCAGAAAGTAGATGGGGTAACAGTGAACGGTGGGCTGGCGCACAATGCTTACCGAGGAACTGGTACCGCCATCCTGCTGGAGTTGATCCTGAATTGGTTGACCCATTACCTGCGGCTGCAATTGGTCCACCGAGTTGGCGATGACCGCATCTGGCTGGAACATTACGTTCCCCAGCAGCTGTACATGCTGCTGCTGTTCCCGTTGCACTTGCGGCATTTGTTGCGGCTGCTGCTGCTCCGCTTGCCACTGGTGCGCCAATTCACGAAGTCTTTGCTCCACGTCCAGAGCTATCATATTGCTTTGGCTGTTGCTACTGCTGCTGCTGCTGCCCGGCGACGAGAAGGGTTCGGGAGAGCCATCATAGGGAAGTTGACTGAGTGCTTGATTCTGATCCTGTTCGATTTGCTGCATATAATCCCAAACCTCCGCCTCCCGCAGGCGATGATTGAAATGCGGTGGCACTACAGCTCGCCGGGGTTGCGGCAGCATTTCCGGTTCCGGTCTCCGATTCCACGAGCGTGAAGGAACCATTTCGCGCTGCACCTCGCACCAGTAGGCGAACACACAGTAGTTGGTGAGTATGAGCGCCTGCGGTGGCTCCACATTGGCCGGAATAGCACCAGGATGCGGACGACTGCGTAGCTGCGTGATCCTATTGTTTAGAGTCTCGAAATCCAGGACCTGCATGCCATTCTCCTGCACCGCGGCCCGCATCCGACACTGAAAGTGCACCTCGCCCAACTGGCCCTCGTATTGGCGTCGCTGTTTGGCCAAATGGGCGAGCACCTGCATCATTTCAGCTCCAGTCAGATTCACGGCTCTGCCCAGATCCCGTTCGGCACGTTGATGCCAGCCCGTCATCGTGGCGGCAACCATGCTGGGATGGTGCTCCAGAATCACACGCTTCACATGCAACTGGACGTGGTAGCACGCATCGCACAGCTCGCGCAGCAGATCCACTTCGCGGGTGGCCAACTCGGTGGCATGCACAGCTGTGCCCTTGATCTTCGCCATCTCGGAGTTGAGCAGGTGGCGTATCAGGTCGTGGTAATCAACTTGGCGCACCAATATATGATCCTGGTGCAGCGGCACATCCGAGCAAGCGCGGCACAACAGACGCTGGCAAGTGTGACACCACGTGGAGTTCGGCATGGCGTGGATGAAACAGTGCTCCACGCTGGTGGCCAAAAAGCTGTCCACGCTGATCTCTTCCAACCAGTTCTTCGCTGAAGCATTGGGCGCTTCTTCACTAGAAATTTCAATAGTGCTGCTGTTCTTGTCCGAGAAATCCAGCATGGCCCTGCCCAGCACCAAAGCCGGCAGCTCACGTAGCAGATACATGATGGCCAGGGATTCCGGCAGCTTCTGGCCATGCAGCTGTGTGCGAAATCCGCACACATAGCAGACGCACTCGGACGAATTGCGATCGGTGTTCCTGTACACGCACTCCTCGCAGAAGCTGTGCTGGCAGACGAGCTCCTGGGGCAGCAGACCGGCGGCCAGGTCATATGGACGATGGCATAGGCCGCAGCTCAGCAGCGCTTTCAGCTCCTTTGGCACCTGGATGGACTTCTCCATGTTCGTCAGTGCTAAAAAGTATAAAATTTGGACAAAAATATGAAGGAATTGAACTCTTTCTTTGGTGTCCTACTTCTGAGCTACTAATGTGTTCGATGGTGAGAAATTACTGACACTTACGAGCTTGTTTTCCCGTCGTGCTGTGATCTTGTTTTCTTTTCGATAGGGAAAATCTGTTCAATCTATGAAGCTACAAATTAGGCGACGTCTTCAACTTTGTTTGCACTTAACTTGAGCTTCTTGGGCGCCATACAAAAATACGCAACTAAACTTAATTGAAAAGTTCCTGTTTCGGCAAAAAAGTATATAAGACCTTTTCACCTGCCCTCGTTAAAAGTTGAAAGAGACTTCAAATTTTTTGATTTGTATGTCTCATCATTGAGTCATTTGCTTTATCAGAAACATCTTCTGAATTCCGCACTTTGATTCCTGATTTTTAATCCGCAAAAACTTTGTAAATTTTCAAATTGTTTATACTTTGCTGATTGTGATTAACCTTCCGCTTACACCTTCCTCCCAAAAAAAGAAAAGAAATCCAAGTTGGTACTAAGACTGGGCCTAATTCTTTGTGCGACCCCTTGAGAAAGTTTTTGCCGTGTGGCAGCTATTGGGACTTTGTTCTAAGCTGTGTAATCAAACTTTGTTCGGCGTGGGACTTCCAACAGTGGAAACCCCAATTTAATAAGTAACAAGCGGTTCGGGGGTCACATCAATTTGGCCTTGGCAACACAAAACTCTGGCCATTGCCCAGTGGCCAGTGGAAAAGCATCGCATTCGGACAAAGTGTTGACCAAAGGCCAAAACTTTGCGCTGTATATGTAGAATATTTTGGCATCAACTAGGCTAAACAAATTAATTAATATTCAATAGTAGTAATTGCGATTGCCGCTTAGGCAGATTTTGTACAAATGACTCGGTTGGGAACTTATATTAATTGTTTGGAAACAGAAAAAAGCTCTGCACTAAAATAAACATGTGTGAGAAGTATGTGCACAAATTAGTTTACATTACATTTTTCATATGTTATGAAAAATGTGAGCACATTAATATGAAGGGAGTAAAGAATCACATGTTGAATTAACGCCCTTTTTTGTGCGATTTGTCCGGCGCCTAAGACAAACAGAACCCAACTGGCAAACATTGTTGAAAAATGAGTTTTGAAGTGACCTTCCGTGTTATATTTTCCCATTTTCCCTCATTGTGTTACAGTACACCTGCCCAAGGTGAAGGCTTCAAACGTTTTGGGTTTCTTGGCCATCTAGAATTCTATAATATTTTCTTCCATGCCATTGGACAGCGAGAAACACGTTTCTGGCATTCCTTACGCTTATTTTGGTTTCTGTTTATTATTCACTCTTGGTCGCATGTTTGTCTTTCACTTCCACTTTCTCCTGCCCTCTACTTTCGCCCTTTCTCCGAAATTATGCAAATTCCTTAAGCTGCCTGCGAATTCAGCTGGCTCCAGCAATTAGAGGCGGAACTTCCTATGCATCGACAAATAAAACATTGCCTACTTTTTAGGGTCGTCTGTCTTTTTTCGCACTTTTCGCCATCCAAGCGAGTTTGAAAGGGAAAAAACAACTTCCTTGGCAGACTGTCGCATAAATTCATATTTGTGTCGTGCTGGTGTGTTGTGTTTAGAATAAAAATGCGAATTCGTTTCGGTAATTGTTTACTGGACGGAAAATTAAGTTGACAATTTGCTGTAAAATGGCTGTAAAAACGAGACATTTGTGCGTTGTCTCTTGTTTTGAAATAGGGGAAAGTAAAGCCACTGGCAGCCACAGTGAAAGACAATGACAGATATCAGTTTATTTGCTGCTGGCACCAAGTCCACAACAGATTAACCGCCCCACGTCCGTTGGCATTATTCAGGCTTAACTCACTTTTAGCCACATTTACGGCCATCAACCCGCCGTCGACACCTTGAGTGAACTAATTAGAGAAACTGTGCGTTTGACAAATGTTGCTCCTGAATTTTATTTGTTGGGCTAAATTCAGCAACAGCTGTAATTCTTTATTCTTCTCTTTATTTGCGTAAGCCTGGCTTAATTGAACTTTTACATGTTGTCAATGGTGGGAAATTGGAATAAATGGCCGCTTCAGTGCAATTATATTGGGTATAAAGACTATAAATTATAAAGTTATTTATAAAACTTCCGTGGGCGCCTATACATGCGGTGTTTGTTAACTCTTTAGCGTTGAAACAAATCCGATTTATTTTTAAGATTGCCAGTCTGTGATCGCATAAATTTATAAAGAGCACAGTTCAATGCTTGTGGGGTTTTGCCTTGGGGATTTCTCCGAAATCGCCATTTGTCTGAGATAAAACGTAGGTGGGAATACACCTACATACTTATGTATGCCACTTGTTGAAGCCTCTCACCTAACATATGCAATTCCCCAACGAAATTAAAACTTTTCCACGGCACAGAAAGCAGCAGCTTTGTGTTTAATGCAACAGTAGCCACAGTTGGTCTAATGAATTTTCTGTGAATTTAAGCAAAGTGTGGGAGTGCTACTGAACAGATATTTCCTGGCCAAAATGAGGCCTTTGATGGAATTCCTGGAAAATCATTTGCAACGAATCATATGTTTTGCACTGAACGTAATTGGCCCACTGGATAAGCGAGAATTTTCCATTCCGCTGTCTGTTCAATCAATTTCAACAACTGCGTCAGCAAATTCGGGCCAAGCATTCGCATTCGGCTTAAAATCATAAAAAGTGGCGAAGGCAAATCTGCGAATCGATAAGCAATTTGCGGCCTGGTTCGCCTCCTTTTGGCCCACTTCCTTCTCCTTGGACTCATTGTCAGTGCCGCTGGGCGTTGGTCTGGCCCATTGGACGTTGGACATTGGACATTGGCCATTGGCCTGGCTTTTCGCTTTTATGCCGGGCAATAAAAATTTATTGCGTGCCTGTGTGTCACCTTCGATGTGGCAGGAGGAGATCTCCATTCCTCGACGGACTAAACCGCCAATTCCCCTTTGCTAATTGCCATAAGCGGACTAGGGCCAGGACGATAATTGGTTTCTCCACTTTAATGGCGGTGCCAACGTGCTGAGAATTTCCCAGCCATATGGCAAAGTGTGCAATTCATATTTGCAGGGATGTGGCGATTACTGGACTCTATTTAAATAGCAGACTTGCCTTGAAGGCGCTTCCCATCGGTTCAATGCCAACTTTTTACCTTCTTTCAACTTTCACAGGGTTAAGTTACTTATCTTGCAGCACATTTCAAAGAACCAATTATAATGCTGTTCACAGCAAAAGTTTTAGAGAAGCTGAATGGGACGAAAATCAACAGGGCACGCAAATTGGCTTCCAAAAGTTCGTTTAAAGTTGAAAAGAAGCTACAAAAGTTATTATTCATCTGTGGGTTCTACTTAACTAGTGAAACAATAGATTTTTAGTGAAAACTGAGGTAAAGTTTATATGCATATAGCATGCGAGCGACAAATAATTATCGCACTTTGGCCGGAAAGCGTCCTTTTTTGATTGATGGCCTTTACCCCGCCGGCCAAAAAGCCTTTCTGGCCAACTTCAATCATGCAAATTAACCGTCAGCATGTCAAATCATGTGCTAATCAAAGCAAAACTTTGATGGATGCGAAATGGAATGTGGCGAGTATCTGACAAATGTGTGAGGCTGAAGGACTGCTTCCGTTGAGATATGATAATGAATCTACGGCTTAAGGAAGCCGCAGAAGTCTATGAGTAATCAAAGGCAACTTGGGAGCCAGCTCGTACAAATGAATTTGTAATAATGAATATGCTTTCACTTAATTCAGACCCAAAATATGCAAATCTTACCATAAGAAGTATGTTTTATTCCTTGGAACTTGCGCACATTACATGTATTTAATGTATTTAACGTTACTTTGTTTCACTTAAAAATCCACAGGAACTTGAACTTTCTTATTGTTATTGTAGTGCCTTTGGTTTGTATTTGCTCAATGTTTCAATGTTTTCTACCTTGAAAATGCATCAAAAAATATGTGATATCAGTTTCGATTTGTTGTTCGATTGTTATTGTTTTGTCACTTGTACATTTGCACGTGATCCCACTCCTACTACTACTTTTGGGCGCACTTGCAGGAGGTGAAAGCCTTGAATATTTTACTCTCACTCTTGGGACTGATTTTCTTTTTGATGTTCGCTGTCTGAAGCTTGGCCTTTTGCCCCACCGCCCGTCTGTCCTCCCTGTTCGGTTGCACTTCCTGTTGGGATGCGTTTTCGTGTTGCTGCTGCAGATGCTGCTGCTGCTGTTGCTGCAGCTCCTGTTGCTGGTGCTCCTGTTGCTGCTGCTCGTGCTGCTGCTGCTGCTGCTGCTGCTGTATCTGTTGCTGGTGCTGCTGCAGTAGCTGTTGCTGTTGCAGACGCGACTTGAACGCTGCATTGCTAAGCTGCCAGCTGCTGGTGGAGGCTCGCAGCGGCGATGGCTTCGTGTGCTGCTGCTGGTAGCTGGGCGCCGCACTGGCCAATCCCGCCGAGCTCTCGGCGCTGTTGGAGGAGAGTGTGGAGGAGGCTACCGCCGTCCAGAACATGGTGTGATAGCTGGCTAATGGGTCTAAGCATCGGCTGGGGCTGCTCCTTCAGGCCAGGCATGTTAGCCAACATGGGGAAAAACTACATGGGTATATATTCGGAACACAAATAACCGAGAATGAAACGCGTGCCGTTTGACTCGATGCTCGTAGCTGGGCTCGTCCTGACCCGTTCGCGATTTGTTGGCAAATGCAGCCTCGACTCGCCAGGATGTGGCTTTTATATCGCTGCGAGAGGGAGAGAGAGAGAGAGAGCTTGCAAAGCTCTCGGTGTCCTGGCTGCGACTCACTCTTTCGCTTCTTTTTCGCTTCTTTTGGCTCTTCCAATGTCAATGCCAAGCTGTTTTTCCTCTCGTTTAAGTGTCCTTTTGCTGCTCCACAGGACATGCAAATATTTTTGCATACCATCTTCTGTTACTTCTGACTACTCCAACATTGTTACACAAGCATGTGCATATGCCTGCTTATAGGATAAGTGACCTATATTTACACACAACAACCCATGTCTTGATAATAATATTGCACACTCTGGACTTGAGTATTTGTTTTATATTTAAAGCGCTCTCATAAGTTTCCATTTTTATTGCAATTTCCATACATTGAGTGCACTTTAAAGTCAAGTAGAAATGGTGCGTACGTCGTGTGCGTCTTTTGTTAGCACTTCGCACAATAGATGGATAGGTTTCATGTGAATTCTACAAACAATGTGATGACAAACTCCAGTGCCTTTGGCTTGCAGGTCGAGTAATTTCGCATTGTTCCAAAAAAGCAATCTGATTTCAACCCACATTCTATTATCCTGCCTCCGGCTTGTTAATTGACAAAAGATTGACAAGCATGCCACTGCAGTAGTTGTGTATAGTGGCACTTGGCTGTAAAGCAGCTTTAGCTGCAAACTTAATTTGCCACCGCTGACGCTGACGCAAACGGAAGCGGAAATTCGTAATGCAACACATTTTGAGTGGCTCTGAGAGTTTAACATCGTTAAAGCGCCAGCAGGAGCTCGTCCCACATCCTGCTCAACCTCTATTATGTACGTTCATTGATTTTGTTTGTCCAGCTTCTGCTCCATCACACATTCCATCGCCTGCCGCCTGCCGCCTGCGATAGGTGTGCACTTTCTGGATGCCGGAGCTAATTAACTTATGCATGTCCGTGATGGGCGAGCTATGCCATTCCAATTGGATGCACTGCTGCTGGGTGGCAAGGAATTGTTGTCATGATGACGCCTCTGCGCGCGAAACGCCCCCGCCCTCCCCTATTTGCCATTCCACGACATGCATAGCCAGCCAGCTTAATTGCGTTTGTCGCGGAACTGCAGCTATGAAGCCGGAGGGGCTTGGTACGTGCCGCGCCTTATCTCCAAAACCCGGCAATCCTTTTTTCGATTTTATCATGATTTTTTGCTACTGAAGGATATCCTTGTAGTCCAAAAATAGCCTGTAAATCACTCATGCATTTTGTTGAATTTCGCACATTCGGTTGCCAATTAAAATCGACGATGCTGAATGTGGTCTGTTAACCAACATAAACTATGCATAAACCTGTGACCTTTTTGCAGTCGGGGGATTCACGGAACGAGTTTCCATTCTCACAGCATTCTTTCAGGGATGCAGTGGCTTGTGCTGGCTTTTGGAGCTCAGTGGAAGCCATGCCGTCTCATCTGGCGACCCTCTGCGTCCAAGACCAACGACGAGCGCCGTACCGCCGGCCTTGTTAGATGTGGGCAAGGTCATTGCCGAGCTAACAGGTTGCTCGCCAACGAGCTTTCATAGAGAGAGAGAGAGGGGGAGAGAGAGTGAGAGTGAGAGAAAAGAACGGAACAGAATGCGGGGTAAAAGGAGCAGAGAGCAAATCAGACGTCAGCAAACGTTTTTTGCCTTGCTTTGTGGCCCATATCCAATGTAGGTCACTGGGCCAAGTCTAACTGGGCTAATCTTGGTAATACCCATTCTAACCTGCCGTTCCCCTTGATTTCTCGCCCCCCATCCAGGAAAAGGATCAGTACGGCAACGAGGTGCAGCGGCTGGCTCGCCCCCTGCCCGTGGAGTATCTGCTGGTGGACGTGCCCGCATCCACACCGCTGCAACCCATTTACACGTTCACCGAGTACGACAAGCGCCAGCCATTCCCCATCGAGAACCGCTACATTGATGGCCACCTGCAGGATTTCAATGCGCTCAGCTGCTATCTGTCCGCTTGGGGCGAGGAGGAGTTCCTGGAGGCCATCTCCGACTTCCACCTGCTGGTCTACCTGTACAAGATGGACATGCTGCCGCTGCGACAGCACATGGGTCCGCTGCTGGAGGCGGTGCGCACCAAGAACCCCAACGAGGCCGCCCAGTTCAAGGTCGTGGATGTGTGGAAGCTGCTCGAGTCGCTTATCCAGGCCAGTTCCGGCGGCAGTGGGTGAGTTCTCTTCCAACCCCAAAGCATTCCCCTGCCGTGAAATGGTCCTAATTGACTATTAATACTTTACAGAGGAACCACCAGCTATCCCAGTGGTGGAGCGTCGGCCAGTGCCGGTGCCGCTGGATCGGAGGCGATGGATCTGGACGCCAACACCTGGACGTGCAACCACTGCACCTTCATCAATCGCGGCGAGCTCACATCCTGCGAGATCTGCTCGCTACCCAGATAAGAATCCCAGACACGAAAATTCCACAATTTGCAGCCTAGATGAACCATTCGAAATTCCGGTGTAAAACAAACTAAAGATTCAATCATACTTACTTAGAGCGGCGGCTGCGTGCGAATGTCGCGCATTCTCTATATGTAATCCTTGTGTAAGAATTTTATAAAATAAAACGAAATGATGGAAGGAAAATTTAATTTATTTTTAAATAAATTTCAATTGTTGTGCACATGTTTCTATGATTTTAATTGTATAATTTGTTTCTGCTGGCTTGGCGATGAATTTGTTGCAGAAGACTTGCTGGGTCAAATAAATGCAAAACTTTCATCATGGCATCACATTCCCTAGGAAGAAATAAACAAATGTTTGTATTTATCATTATAAAACAGATTCTTTGTTTTTGGTAAATTCTTCTTCACTTGCTTACCAAATAAGATAACATTTCTAGCTAGGCTTGAATGATTATTTTTATCAGAAAAACAGAATTTTCGTGTTTTTTTTTATTAAAGCTGGCCTAAAGAATGTCACAGGGATATAAAAAATACTGATTTTGGCAGCTTACGATCGCAGTTAACAAGTCCTACAAACTTTCTGGTGATTTGAAAAAAAAAATTTTTTCGAATTTTTCACTTTTTGTGAAAACATAATTTTTTGCGAAAAATGGCCAAAATTTAACATTTCAAACCTTGAATGCAATTCGATGGCAAATTTTATACCGAATTCAACGAGGTATGACATTCCACAATCAGACCAATATTTTAGCTGCTTATGGCGATCATAATCAGCAGCAGGTTGCTACCGAAAATAAAACGATCGATGGTCACCTTCTGGAATTCCTGTTCGCCTGGTAATTTAAATCGAAAAATCTGACAATTTTGCCTGCAAAATTTAAATTTTTATGGCAAATTGTAGAATTTTCGGGTTGAATTACCAGGCGATCATAACCAGCAGCAGGTAGCTGCCGAAAACCAAACGATCGATGGTCACCTTCTGGAATTCCTGTTCGCCTGGTAATTTAAATCGAAAAATCTCACAACTTTGCCTGCAAAATGTAAATTTTTATGACAAATTGTAGATTTTTCGGGTTGAATTACCAGGCGATCATAATCAGCAGCAGGTTGCTGCCGAAAACAAAACGATCGATGGTCACCTTCTGGAATTCCTGTTCGCCTGGTAATTTAAATCGAAAAATCTCACAATTTTGACTGCAAAATGTAAATTTTTATGACAAATTGTAGATTTTTCGGTTTGAATTACCAGGCGATCATAATCAGCAGCAGGTTGCTGCCGAAAACAAAACGATCGATGGTCACCTTCTGGAATTCCTGTTCGCCTGGTAATTTATATCGAAAAATCTCACAATTTTGCCTGCAAAATGTAAATTTTTATGACAAAATTACGGGTTGAATTACCAGGCGATCATAATCAGCAGGAGGTTGCGTCCCAAAACAAAACGATCAATGGTCATCTTCTGGAATTCCTGTTCGCTTGGTAATTTAAATCGAAAAATCTCACAACTTTGCCTGCAAAATGTAAATTTTTATGACAAATTGTAGATTTTTCGGGTTGAATTACCAGGCGATCATAACCAGCAGCAGGTTGCTGCCGAAAACAAAACGATCGATGGTCACCTTCTGGAATTCCTGTTCGCCTGGTAATTTATATCGAAAAATCTCACAATTTTGCCTGAAAAATGTAAATTTTTATGACAAAATTACGGGTTGAATTACCAGGCGATCATAATCAGCAGCAGGTTGCGTCCGAAAACAAAACGATCGATGGTCACCTTCTGGAATTCCTGTTCGCCTGGTAATTTAAATCGAAAAATCTCACAATTTTGCCTACAAAATGTAAATTTTTATGACAAATTGTAGATTTTTCGGGTTGAATTACCAGGCGATCATAATCAGCAGCAGGTAGCTGCCGAAAACCAAACGATCGATGGTCACCTTCTGGAATTCCTGTTCGCCTGGTAATTTAAATCGAAAAATCTCACAATTTTGCCTACAAAATGTAAATTTTTATGACAAATTGTAGATTTTTCGTGTTGAATTACCAGGCGATCATAATCAGCAGCAGGTAGCTGCCGAAAACCAAACGATCGATGGTCACCTTCTGGAATTCCTGTTCGCCTGGAAATTTAAGTCGAAAAATCTGACAATTTTGCCTGCAAAATGTAAATTTTTATGGCAAATTGTAGATTTTTCGGGTTGAATTACCAGGCGATCATAATCAGCAGCAGGTAGCTGCCGAAAACCAAACGATCGATGGTCACCTTCTGGAATTCCTGTTCGCCTGGTAATTTAAATCGAAAAATCTCACAATTTTGCCTACAAAATGTAAATTTTTATGACAAATTGTAGATTTTTCGTGTTGAATTACCAGGCGATCATAATCAGCAGCAGGTAGCTGCCGAAAACCAAACGATCGATGGTCACCTTCTGGAATTCCTGTTCGCCTGGAAATTTAAATCGAAAAATCTGACAATTTTGCCTGCAAAATGTAAATTTTTATGGCAAATTGTAGATTTTTCGGGTTGAATTACCAGGCGATCA